GTGCTGCCGTGAAATTAAGAGACCGTTTTAATTCTGTTTTAATTAACGGAGTGAACCGCGCATTACAGAATTCGTTTTATTTACGGAATGAACCGCGCCTAGTAGAAGTCGAGCGTGGTGCTGCCGTGAAATTAAGAGGCCGTTTTAATTCCGTTTTAATCAACGGAATGAACCGCGCATTACAGAATTCGTTTTATTTACGGAATGAACCGCGCCTAGCAGAAGTCGAGCGTGGCGCTGCTGCACAATTAAGAGGTCGTTTTAATTAACGGTATGAACCACGCATTACAGAACTCGTTTTTAATTAACGGAATGAACCGAGCCTAGCAGAAGTCTAGGCACGTTCTCTTGCTGTGTGCGCAGCTGTGCAATTAAGATGTCGCGTCTCAGTATTAGGGATTACGGGGAAAACTGAATAGAGTCGCAAGAGGTGATGCGCTGCCCCCCTCCCCCCTTACTTTTCTTTTTTCTTTCCTCTCTCAGCTCATCGTGTCGCGTCGAGCGCGCGCTACGACGGGGGACGCTACGCTTCCCCTAGCTGTGTCAGCACAAGACATATCGTTCGGACTCGTGTATACATGTGATGAATAAGCGTTCCAAGGCTGGTTAATCGGGGTACGTCAGATATGCTACAGCTATGTACGCCTGGAAGGCTGCTTTATTGAAGCAGATGGAGCGAATTAAGCGCGACTTGCGCGTACCTGTAAATGGGACCCGGCCGACGAGCCACCGTCGCTTACAGGGCCCCACCCACAATAAGCACAAACTACCAAAATTCCAATCAATAATTGTGTATTGTTTCTCAGCTCAAGAGCTTAGTATACAATAAGCATAAAATGACATAATAAACATAATAATGACAATAATAATAATAATACAACATAATGACAACATAAACATAAGAATAAAATGACAATATGTCTCACTACGCGCTAATCACAATTAAACTGGATACCGGCGAGCAATTACCTCCATTAATCAAAGAAAAGGGTCTTTCACGTTGATACGTGCGTTAATTGATCTCCACCAAAGCCAGGCGAGGTGAGACGGCATAAGTGAGGTAGTCGTCTTGTTGCTGTTGCGAACGAGACGGCGCTTGGCCTTTTGCCATTCACTTTCAATCCTTTGCGTGTTGGCGCCTGTCGTAGGATCAACGAAGTTGACACTGTGGTTCACGGTGTGCCAGCCCAAGTTTAGCGGTGTTTCGTTGGCATCCACAAGCCTGGGTATGCACTGGTACGCGGCCCACTCGTCGCTGTACACCGTCGTCCCGGGAAGAATGTGCTGCCGGTCGAAGCGATGGCGCAGGCGACAGTCCGATTTCACGAAGGAAGGCCACTTCCGCGGCAGGGTACCTTATGATGTCGGCGATTTCGACAATGCTGGGGTCTATCCGTGGCGTGGTCATGACGACACGCTTCCTGAACTGGTAACAGTGTAGCTTGCGTGGCTAACGTTACGGCATTTTATAAGGGTCATGAGGTGAAAGGGGGATAGAGCGCTCTATCGTTGACAGGGCGCCTACGTGATGCAGCATCAGCGGGGAAAGAGGAGGTGGGTCATGGCGCCGACGTGACGCGAGCATCTGCGGAGAAAGAGTGGATGGGTCACGGCCCTAACGCCATGCGAGCACCTGCGGAGAAAGACGGGATGGGCAAAGACGCCTGGAATAAAAAAAAATCGTAAAAAACCTTTTTCGACTTCTAACGTTGGTTGACATGGCGCTGACTCGACGCGACGCGAGTGTCTGCGGAGAAAAAGGGGGCAGGCAAACACGCCTGGAATAAAAAAACATAAAAAAACCTTTTTGTACCTCTAACGTTGGTTGACATGGCGCCGACCCGACGCGAGTGTCTGCGGAGAAAGAGGGGGTGGGTCACGGCGCCGACGCAACGCGAGCACATGTGTGAAAATACGGATAGGCGAAGACCCCTCGAATCGTACAACAACTAGGTCACATACTCCACTTCGGTGCCCCTCCTTCTCCACAGCAACGGTGACTTGAGCGGGAGTGCGAACGATGTTACGTGATGCTACGTGATGTGACCCATGTATCACGTGAACAGTACACCACCCAGAGCACGTACTCCACCTCGGTGCATTGGGCGTCGACACATGGCCAAACTTGCTCACGTAAACCTCTTAAATTTCCTTATTTGGTGCTCCCTATCTCGGTCGCAATCCCTAAGCTTTACGATCGTGATTCTTATAAAATGCCGTAACGTTAGTTGTGCTAAGTACATTGTCACTATTTCAGGAGCCGTCGCGTTATTGGACTGTCGAAGACGCCATCGCTTCGAGCGGCAGTTCGACCTGCAGACAGTCGGGAACAGCACAGAAGCGGCCGCCGACATCCGAGTGATGGGGAATTCGCAAGGACCTCAGCTAAATTATGGTGACCCAGGATGCAGTAAGTCGTCACGTACAATCACCCCGGCAAAAAAACGAGCAGACCCACACTTCAGGTACAATGGTTGCAGAAAACAGCTAGCTGTCCCAGCTCCGCGGGACACTCACAATGCTGGGTAGACAGGGGCAAAGCTCCCTTTTTTTTTTTTTTTCTTTGCCTCTCGAGACGTACTTGGTCCTTGCGCATCTCAACGTGAAAGACCTTTTCCTTCGATTAATGGAGGTGATCGCTCGCCGATATCCCGTTTAGGGATCCCTGCTATATCGTGAGTGATGAGCGTGTAGTGAGACATATTATGCCATTTTATTCTTATGTACCCACCCTATTGTTTTATACTGTGCTCTTGAGCTGAGAAACAATTTGTGCTTATTGTGGGTGGGGCCCTGTAAGCAACGGCGGCTTGTCGGCCGGGTCTTATTTACAAGTACGCGCAAGTCGCGCTTAATTCGCTCCATCTGCTTCGATAAAGCAGCCTTCCAGGCGTACATAGCTGTAGCATATCCGACATACCCCGGTTAGCCAGCCTTGGAACGCTGATTCATCACATGTATATAAGAGTCCAAACGATATGTCTTGTGCTGACACATCTATGGGAAGCGTAGCGTCCCCCGTCGTAGCGCGCGGTCGATGCGACACGATCAGCTGAGAGAAAAAAAAAAATAAAAGTAAGGGGGGGAGGGGGGCAGCGCATCACCTCCTGCGACTCTAATCAGTTTTCCCCATCATTCCTAATACTGAGACCCGATATCTTAATCGCACAGCTGTGCACACAGCAAGAGAATGCGCCTCGACTTCTGTAATGGGAGGTTCATTCCGTTAGATAAAACGGCCTCTTAATTGCGCAGCAGCGCCGCGCTTGACTTCTGCTAAGCTCGGTTCATTCCGTTAATTAAAACGGAATTAAAACGGCCCCTTACTTGCACCGCAGCACCACGCTCGACTTCTGCTAGGGTCGGTTCATTCCGTTAATTAAAACGGAATTAAAACAGCCTCTTAATTGCACGGCAGCACCACGCTCGACTTTTGCTAGGCTCGGTTCATTCCGTTAACTGAAACGGATTTAAGACGGCCTCTGAATTGCACGGCAGCACCACGATCGACTTCTGCTAGGCTCGGTTCATTCCATTAATTGAAACGGAATTAAAACAGCCTCTTAATTGCAAGGCAGCACCGCGCTCGACTTCTGCTAGGCTCGGTTCCTTCTGTTAATTAAAACGGCCTCTTAATTGCACGGCAGCACCACGCTCGACTTCTGCTAGGCTCGGTTCCTTCTGTTAATTAAAACGGCCTCTTAATTGCACGACAGCACCGCGCTCGACCTCTGCTAGGCTCGGTTCATTCCGTTAATTGAAACGGAATCAAAACGGCCTCTTATTTGCACGGCAGCACCACGATCGACTTCTGCTAGGCTCGGTTCATTCCGTTAACTGAAACGGAATTAAAACGGCCTCTTAATTGCACGACAGCACCGCGCTCGACTTCTGCTAGGCTCGGTTCCTTCTGTTAATTAAAACGGCCTCTTAATTGCACGGCAGCACCACGCTCGACTTCTGCTAGGCTCGGTTCCTTCTGTTAATTAAAATGGCCTCTTAATTGCACGACAGCACCGCGCTCGACTTCTGCTAGGCTCGGTTCATTCCGTTAATTAAATGGCCAGCGTCGCTCATGCACTCGCTAAATGCACCGCGGATAGCACGAAACTCTTACGGAGAAGCCACAACTACAGCAGAAAAATTTTCAACCAAGAAATGCACCGCGGATAGCACCAAATTCTTACGGAGAAGCCACAACTACAGCAGAAAAATTTTCAGCCAAGAAATGCACCGCGGATAGCACCAAACTCTTACGGAGAAGCCACAACTACAGAAGAAAAATTATCAGTCAAGAAATGCACCGCGGATAGCACCAAACTCTTACGGAGAAGCCACTACTACAGAAAATAACCTATCTGCCAAATTTAGCGGCAAATTGGCAACAACCACCCTTCCAGTCTGGCAACCACTTATGCAACGCCAAAAGGAACCTAGGCGGCAACTGCCAGATGGGACGGGTCAAGCTGCTCCACAAACAATTTGTCTTGCGGCTTTAGAACCAGGGCTCTCGTGCTCACGAACGGCCACGCGTACCACGTGTTTTAGGTCCATGGTTTACAGATATGTATTTTAAATTTAACTCAACACAGGGACGGCTTTTATTACATCAGTGAGGACGCTTTTACAAGTATTTGTGCTGACAAGCACTTCGCGTCGTACGAGCAGCAAACGTAGATGAGGGCAAGGCTTGTACTACGTACTAGGCGCGCACCTCACGGCTGAAATAATTAGCAGCATGTAACATAACTGACAAGTGCCGACAAAGGTCTAAATGCCATCTCACACGACGATTGCCCACAAAGACCTGTATGCCACGAGTGTAGTTCAAGTACGACCTGTATGCCTTTGCACAAAATACGATCGATCCTAGAAAAGACGACGCGCGGAGATGTGTATCATTGCCGTGAAATGTGTTACCTGAAAGTAAGCACAAAATACGATCGATCCTAGAAAATACAACGCGCGGAGATGTGTATCATTGCCATGAAATGTGTTACCTGAAAGTAAGATAGCAGATCCGAAGGTCGCGCGATGGCCGTGGGTAAATAACTGAAGCGAACACGACCCAAACACACCGGAGCAAATTACAGGAGGCAACAGCCACAACACAGCTTCAGTCACACCGCGTGCTCCACCACCTCCGGGAAGTCGCGAGCCGTAGTAGCACAGAACCACAGAACACCTTTACACACGAGACCTTCAAACCATAGCCTCCTTTATAACTTTGTGCCTGAGTGGTCGGTCCCTCAGTGCCGTCCCCCCGATTCTCTCGTTTTGCGCCTCGGCGCTCCGCCAGAGGCGCTCAAATCCCATAATAATCTCGCTCGAATCCCATAATACAAAATGGAGGAAGCGAACCAGGAAGTTGACTGGTAAATACTTAGAAAACAGCAGGTGGTCAAACCAAAAAGAACTATCGGTTAAGAAGAAAGTGAAGGAAACGGAGACTGACATGTGGAGAATGGGCATGATAAAGAAGTCCGCACTAGAGATCTATCGAACGTTTAAGCAGGAAATTGCCAAGGAAAGGATCTATGATAATACTCGGGGTAGTTCTCTACTGTTTGAGGCCAGAACGGGAGTACTGCGAACCAAGACATATCGGGCCAAATACGAAGGGGTAGACACAGTATGCAGTGCGTGTGGAGAGGAAGAAGAAACTGCCGAACACTTGATAATGTTCAGTAAAGGGCTTCACCCTATAGTTCAGGATGATGGCGCAGAGTTTTTCAAAGCACTTGGGTTTAGGGACCGAGAGGGCAAAATAAACTTTAAGCGGGTAGACTTAACTAGAAGGAGGTTATTTGATTGGTGGCTAAAGTCAAGGCACGAGTGAAAATTAAACTCTTCACTGCAAAATACGAATCCTCAAACTCTTTTTTTCTCCTTTTTTTTCTTTTTTTTAAGGAAAAAAATATAGTTTTTGGTTCATTAGGTATTACGGCTTGGTGGCGCTAGCCACCGCCCAATCTAAAGGGTACAGCCATATCCATCCATCCATCCATCCATCCAATCTTTTCGTCATATTCCAGACAAGGAGGATATAAAAACCTGATTCCAGACCATCGAAATTTCAGGTCCGTTCACCACGTGAACCAGTTCACGAGGTGCTGCACCTTACCATTCGTTTCAGCGGTGCAGCAATGACGACCGCTGAACCCTGCCATTCGTTTCGGAAGGTGCAGAAGAGGTGCAGCACCGGTTCACGATTTTCCTGCACCTCCTTCGCTGACGGTGCCGGCTTGGTGCAGGCCCGCGTGCAGCTGAGCAGACGACGCAGCACTTAGACGTAGGTGGCGTAGGCGCTGTACCCGCCTCTACTAACGCGGTGTGTTTTGCCAAGATGTTTGCGCCTCATGAACTGTCCACATGTGCGGTTCGCCATCGTTCAGTGTTCACTGAACAGTGTAAATTAAGCGAACAGAAATAAGGCCTGCACCTTGTTGGCACATCGTCATTCGTTTCGGGGGTCGCGCTGTGCCTGCACCACTGAACTCGCGCTGCACAATTTCTGAACTTCGCGTGCACAGCCGTGAACCGGTTCCGACTGGTGCAGGTGAATCGAACGGACCTTTCGGCAGCACAGGGCAGACCAACATGGCTACTGTTTCTGGACATAAAGGGTGCCTATGACAACGTGGACAGGGGATTGCTGTGGCATATACTGGAAGAGGAGGGGATTGGGTCGGAATTTGTAGGGCTGCTATGGGAAATATATGAGGATAACAAGGCACACATTACATGGGAAGGGCGTACATACACAGAGCCCGTGTACATTCGAAGAGGTTTAAAACAGGGGTGCCCTCTTTCGCCATTGCTGTTCACACTGTACATTAGAGGAATGGAAAGACGACTAGAAGAGAGTGGATTGGGCTTTGATTTGTCACACCGAAGCAATGGAGTGTAGTGGAGCAACGGATTCCGGGATCGATGTACGCAGACGATATAGTGCTGCTGGCGGATAATGCGGAAGAACTTCAAAAACTGGCTGACATTTGTGGTGATGAGGCAACGTACCTAGGCCTACATTTTAACCCACAGAAATCTGGAGTCATGGTGTTCAACGAGGAAGCTCATGTAGCACCAATAAGGATACAACAGGAAGCCATACCATTAGTAAATAAGTACAAATACTTGGGGATCTGGCTTAATGAAGGAAAAGGCTACCTGAATGCTCATGAAGAACACCTCAAACTGAAAGGGAGACGAAATGCAGCAGCAATGAAACATAGAGCACTTTGGGGACACAATAAGTACGAGGTAGTACGAGGCATCTGGAAAGGGGTAATGGTGCCGGCGCTCACGTTCTCTAATGCCGTATTATGCTTAAAGTCAGATATCCTGTCGGGGCTGGAGGTTAACCAAAAGGCAGTCGGCCGGTTAGCTCTGGGAGCTCACAGTAAGACTACAAACGAGGCTGTACAAGCCGATATGGGTTGGGCTTCATTTGAGGCGAGGGAAGCACAAAGTAAAATACGGTTTGAGGAGCGACTTAGACATTTAGATGAGAAGAACTGGGCAGCCAGAGTGCACAGATACCTGTACTTGAAAAGTGTGGACACCCAGTGGCGGAAGAGGACGCGAAAGCTGGCGACTAAATATAACTTGACCGCGGCAAATAAGCAAAGGGGGACAGTTGAAAAGCCAGTGAGGGAAACAGAGACGCTCATGTGGAAAGAGAGGATGGAAAAGAAGGGATCGCTGGGAATCTACAAGGCAAGCAAACAAGAGATCCGGAAAGAGAACTTTTATGACAACAATAAAGGTAGTGCGTTGCTCTTTGAGGCGCGGGCTGGCTGCTTGAGAACTCTAACTTACAGGAGCAAATATTCGTCACAGGATGAGACATGTGTTGGATGTGGCATAAACAAAGAAACAATCGACCACATAGTCATGGAATGCCAAAAGATTCAGCCGGATAGAAATGGGGGGAAGGTCACACTTCCTGAGGCGCTGGGCTTCGCGGTTGATGGAAGCATTAACTGGTCAGCAGTAGGTATTACTAAGCAGCGGCTGGAGTATTGGTGGAGGAAAAGCAGAGAAGTCGATAAAATAACATCCCAGCCAAGAGTAGCGGCTGGGCAAAATTAAAAAGACATCCGAGTTGAGGGACAGAATTTAAACTCGAACTATTAAGGTAGGCTAGATGGCGCATGCCGTCACCCCGATTCAAAGGGGAGGCCTTTAATCATCATCATCATTATCAGATTATCCCATAATAGGGACCCAAGGTTTAACATAGCGATTGTTCCCAAACGAACGCTAGTAACGAGGAAAACAACCAGGGAGACTCTTCGGCAGGTGTTATGGACAGATACGATTCCAAAGTGTCACCAATGTCTAAGATAGGTAGAGTCCGGGGCATAAATAGACGTAGCCACGAGCGCCGAGCCCATTCAGACATAGGGTATATTACCATGCAGGGTGGTAGGAACAGGCTGAAGTGGGAAGAGATAGAATAACAGCTAAGGGAAGAAAGGCCGATGGTATACGGTTTTGTAGACTGATGAGTGCGGCGAGTTGGGCAGGTTGGTAACGATGCATGACTAAGAAATCTTAGCGCCACAGAACGGAAACAAAAGAAAGAAACGTAGACAACACGAGCGCTAACTTCAAACCAAGTTTATTAGGAAACACACATGAATATATACGAACTCAAATCACAGAAATCTCACGCCTACTTTTTTACACATATATTGATATACAACGTCATACAAAAACAAAAAATGTAATATCAGGAAATAAACAGGTAAACGCGCATGTGTAAATGGAACCAAGAAAACTTAGAAAAACTTAACAGCCCCCCGAAAAACCCTACAAACGAAAAATGTAACACCAACTGCGCATGCTTACCTCGGTGAAACTATGAAAACGTGCTCATTAGGAATGAAAATTCTTTATCGTGAAGGAGTACAGACGGATGACTCACGCACTTCTCGCCACGTTTTCGGATGAAGCAGGCCTCAACTAATTCTCGGGTTAACTGCTCTCTGTGACGGAATAGCACAGCTGTTTGATCGAACATTGGAGTACAGCCACACTGACGGCAATGTAATGCCAAGTGGGATGTCGGTGTGCCTATCAAAGAGCTGTGGTGCTCGCGTAGACGGATATTGAGACACCGCCCAGATTGGCCCACGTAAACGTGTCCGCACGAAAAGGGCGTCTCGTATACCACCCCTTTTACACAAGACACGAAACGAATGCCATGTCTCATTGTGCACTTGCCTTTTTTACCACTTTTTTTATTTTCACGGTGCTGCAGTCTCGGGCAAATATCCTTCAGTTTACTTTTGGCTGAAAACACCTCATTCCTAATGACACTTCATTCCTAATGAGCACGTTTTCATAGTTTCACCGAGGTAAGCATGCGCAGTTGGTGTTACATTTTTCGTTTGTAGGGTTTTTCGGGGGGCTGTTAAGTTTTTCTAAGTTTTCTTGGTTCCATTTACACATGCGCGTTTACCTGTTTATTTCCTGATATTACATTTTTTGTTTTTGTATGACGTTGTATATCAATATATGTGTAAAAAAGTAGGCGTGAGATTTCTGTGATTTGAGTTCGTATATATTCATGTGTGTTTCCTAATAAACTTGGTTTGAAGTTAGCGCTCGTGTTGTCTACGTTTCTTTCTTTTGTTTCCGTTCTGTGGCGCTAAGATTTCTTAGTCATGCATCGTTACCAACCTGCCCAACTCGCCGCACTCATCAGTCTTATTTCTAGTACGAAGGGCTCTGTTATTTGTTCTAACGTTTTGCTCTCTAATCCCAGCCTTCTCACGTCACTGATCGCAGTGTATATATGTCGAGCCCGGACGGCGTCTTGGTATGCTAAGACGTCTACGTGTCCCCCCGATCTTCAGGTGCTCGTTGGCGTGTTGCGTCCGTCGGTTGGACACTCCAGAAGGATGTGCCGGTTGCTGTGCTCGGAATGGTGGCATCAAGTTCGTTTCCTCAAGGATTGCTTGCGGTTGACGTGTCAACAGGATTTAAGCCCGCCCCAAGTGAACTACAAATATAATCTGTGGCTGAAGCTTTGCAACCAAGTTACTGAGTGGCTATGGAACCAGGTCAGACCCACGCTTCCTGCAAGAACAAGAACTAAGGCAACTTCGGAGGCCAAGGTGCTTAACTTGAGTGAATGTGATGTGCCAGTCAAGCACTTGGATGTGTTGAGTAAAGGTCCCAAGTTTTGTGTGGAACCGGCCCTTCGCCCGGCAGAGCTGGTTTCGGTTTCGAGGTCTGTGGC